CTCTGCCCCTGCCGCGCCCGCCGCCGGCCGCCGCGCCCGCGCCAGCGCCAGCGGCGGCGCCCGCGCTGGGCGCGAACAGGCGCCGAAACTGCTCCGCGGCGGCAGCCTGGCTGGCAGGGTTGGGCCCTGGCGCTTCAACAGCAGTGGCAGCAGCGGTGAGGGGCGCCTCCGCCTCGTCGCCTCCTGTTAGGTCTACTGGCAGGCGATCGCCACCCCCGTCGCCGCCACCGCCGCCCTCGCACGGGCCCGGCCCTGCTCCACCCACGGCCGCCTCGGCGCAGCAGCTGCGCCTGCGCTTCGCAGCCGCCTCGGCCCCTTCTGCTTCCGCCGCGGCGCCTGCGTCTGCACTCGCCTCAGCAGCCACCGCCTCGCCGCTGTTCGCAACCGGGGCCTTGCGCTTCCCGCGCCCGCGCCCACGCCCACTGACGCCGCCTCGGCCTCCTCGCGCTCTGCCGCGGCCCCTGCCGCCCGCCCCGCCTCGGCAGCCCGCGGCGGATGCCGCGGCGTCGGGTGCGGCGCGAGCGCCGCGTTTGGGCGGCTGGAAGTCGTCGTCGTCGCCATCTGAGGCCGCCTCCTCCTCCTGGGCTCCCTGGTCGGCCGGTCCCTCTCTCAACCGCGCGCCGCCCCCGATGAGCCCTCTGTCGGCCTCATCCCCGTCGTTCTCCTCCTCGTGCTGCAGATTGTGTTCTTGTGGCAGCTCCTCCGCCTGCTGCTGCTGCTGCTGCTCCTGTTCCTGCTCTTCCCGCTGCTGCTCCTGCTGTTGTTGCCGCTTCTTGCGCCCCTTGGCGGCCGGTTTTGGAGGGACGACGCCGCCAAAAAGTGTCCGCTGCTGCCCTCCGGCCGGCTTTCGCCCTTGCTGGGCCGGCGGCGCCTTTGCCGCGGCTGAGGCGGTCACACCCGGAAGCCCAGCGGCTGCGGCGCTGGCTGGCTCCTGCTGCTCGTCCCCCCTTTCGGGCTGCAGCTGCTGCTGCTGCTGCTGCTGCTGCTGCTGCTGCTTTTTGGCGTGCTGCTTTGCGGGCGGTAACTCAGCGGCCTCCAGGCGCCTGTCAAAAGACAGCCTTGCCTGCTTCAGCTGCCTGCCGCCGGCCTCTACGCCCTTGCCACCAACAGGCTTGCTGCCTGGGCCAGCAGCAGCCGCACCGCCCGCCAATGGGCCACCCGCCACAGCCGTCGCCGCTGCAGCGCCGCCGCGGCCCTTCACACCAGAGCTGCTCTCCTGCAGCGCCTGCGGCAGCTGCTCGCCGCCCGCCCCAATGCGGGGTGCGCTCAGTGCCAGCCCAGCAGGGGGCGCCGGCGGCTGGCTGGCCTGGGCGGCAGCGATGTTGTCGCAGACGCTGGTCGGCTGGCTGAAGGGCTGGGTGGCCTGGCTGCAGGGCGCTGCGGCGGCCTGGTCTGGCTGTTGCAGCACGGCTGCAGGCGAGGGGCCAGCAGGCGTGGCAGCCGCAGCAGCAGGCGCCTCGGCGGCGAGCTCGGCTGCCTGCTCCGCCGTTGGCTGCTGCCCATCATGATGAGGCTGCTCTTGCTGCAGGCGTTGCTGTAGTTGCTGCTGCTGCTGCTGCTGCTGCTGCTGCTGCTGCTGCTGCTGCTGCTGCTGCTGCTGCTCCTGCTGCTGCGCCCCCTCTGCACGGCCTTCGACGGCAGCGATGCCGCCGCCTCCGCTGCCGCCACCGCTCCCTCCGCCGTTGCGTGTTGATAGCGGCCGCGCAACCGCCCCTGCAAACCAAACAAGGCAACGGCCAACTCAGAGAGTCTGCGCGACGCATTCGTGGTGGCATGCGCCGTGGCAAAGCCCTGGTATTAACATTTCAAGGCCCTCAACAAATCGCCCTTGGTCCTCACCTGCAGGGGCGGGAAAACCCTCCTCAAGCTTTTGCCGCTTGCTGCCATGCCCCGCATGGCCCTGCGGCCTGGTAGGAGAGCAAGCAAAGGTTTTGAAAGCATGGGATGCGTGAGAAGAGCTTGGCTGGCGGATGGATGCGCCAGTTGCAAGCGTTGTTGATTGGGAGGGCAGTGAGCCTCCAAATCGTGGCCCGCACGTGCACCCACCCGTTCTCCGCCTCCAACCGCGGCTTTGGAAGGGGCTTGGCGGGGCTGTCGTCCACATCCGGGTCGAGCGAGAAGCCGTGCATCGCCTTCGCAAACCACGCTGTGTTCGCAGCGCTTGGCGCGGCGCCAATTGCCGATCCCCCGCCGCCGCCACCCGGCCCGCCGTCGGCCTACAAGCTGCCAGCTTGCTCCTCGGGCTGCTCAGGCACAGAGCGGGTGTCTCATACGCCACAGATCATGGGATGCTAGATCGGGCGGGTCGAACAGCGGGAAAATTAGCTTTTGAAGGTATGAGGTGTAGGATCGCTCGAAAATTTCAGCGTGTGTTATGATTGTGAGACGGTCCTGTTGCGCTATGTGAGAATGCGCGCCAACTTTGAAGAGGGACGACACCCCACAACGGATTCAGCGTCGATGAATGGGCTGTAAAGTATTCAGATGGGTGATGTACATGGTGCAATCGTGTGTGCTGCGGCAATGGGCGGCCGCTATGAATCTGTGGCGAGTTGAAACCGCCGTGGCAGGGCACGATCCTGGAGTCGAGCTCAACACATCCGGCGGGATGCCCTGGCCGGGCTGACAGTCTTGCAGTTCTGGTGCTTGAATAAGTCGGGCTACTCAGGTGAAAGCAAAAGTGGGACATACGTGCCACCAACCCCGGGCTGGCGCGGCTCGCTTGCAGAGTTGACCACGTATGTGCCGTCCCATGCGGCCTGGGAGCAGCACTCTTGGGACGCTCGATCTGTCCTTGATGCGGCGCCGCTCACGTACTGGCGTTCAAAGTACCTGTGTCTCAAAGGGGGCATGTCTGCCCAGGCTCCAAACTTTGCTCTTGTCGTGCTGGCTCCACCAAGTGCAGACGCTTTGTGGGGCTCAGCACGACTACCTGCGTTCGGACCTTCTTGAGGAGCACCGCGGTTATGCAACGCCTAGACATTGCAGGTGCTGCAACGTGCCGAAAACACTGAACCGCGCGCTGACCGAGTCGGCCACCCCTCGCTCAAGACAGTAGTGGCTCATCAGTAATTGTAGCAGCATCTGTCAAGCAGATGATGGTGGTGTGCGATCCATCACCCTGTAGTAAGCTTTGCTAGTATTTATCTGGTACTGCAAGAGTTTCATATGTGCCCAAGGGACGCACGGATTTTGATCACTCATGTGATCTAGAACTTCGCGTCGGAGCATTTCAATTGTAACAGTCGATCAAATTATTCTGAAACAGCACATGTCATTCTCTCTGCCGCAGCGGGTGGCGACGACTGTTTGACCTCGCTTCTCCAGAGTGCGGGCCTGTCTATTAGACAGCTAACGAATATGGAAGGGACGTCCGGTACCACCTCAGGGGCGGTGTCACGTGGTGTGTCGCTCAGTGGGAACACGCCTGCAGTTGCAGCGGCAGCAGAGGCGGCAGCAGCGGCAGCGGACCCGCTGCTCGATGAGTCGGACGATGACTTTGAGTATGAAGAAGTGGAGGTCGTTAGGTGAGCTCCTCAGGGTTGAGACAAACCATGCGCGCAGCCAAGGGCCCCATGAGCATGCCGCCACAACACCATGAGGGCACCACTGGCTGCATGTGCTACGACAAGCGAATGTGTGTGATGGCATGGACCGTTACGCCCAGTTTGGAAACATGTGCCAGCGGCTCATGTGGCCCCGCCCCACAGCGAACCCGAGGAGGATGACATCAGCGAGGACCTGGATGCCGCCATGCGCAGCCTGCAGGCCCTCACCACCTCGAAGGCAAGTGCATGCACTCCGCGAAGGACTGCAACGGGGTGAAGCGCAGCGAGCGCATGCAACAGACGCAGCCCCCAGCCGCGTGCCATGGCTCACAGCATGGGGTTTGCTTGCCAGGCGTGTCGAGCAGTTGCAAGTCCTTGCCCAACTGTGCATGCGTTGGAGAAGCGCACTCAGCAGTGCGCCGTTGGACCACTGAAAGCATAAAAAACGAGGGTCGCAACCCACGGTGCTGCCCAGCAGGACGGGGCCGGCAGCGCAGGGGCGTCAAAGCCCGCGGCGCTGCCAGGAAAAGTGACGCGGCGGCCGGAGGTCATTGATGACGTCATACGGTGGGCAGGGGTACCACCTGGTGCTGCGCCGCAGTGTCGACGTGGCTGTGTGCTTGCTGCAAGCAGTTGTGGCAGGCGCAATCACAATCTGCATGCGCGCTCGCTGTTGTGAGGGGACTGCGTTTGCTGCGGCCCCTGCAGCCCAGGGGAGCCTTTCTGACGCACCACGGCGCCATGGGATTGGGCGCCCTCTCCGACCCATGTGCTACAAAACGCGCAGCAATTTCTGCGCCAAGGCGGGCCTGGCGCGGACGGCCGAGGCGTTTGAGGCCGAGTGGTATGAGCTGAAGGCCACGGGGCGCCTTGGGGGCCTCGCCACCAGCATGCCAGACGTGTACATGCGCAACGGGGTAAGCTGTGCTAGGCTCAGGTAGCGCAGGCCGCCGCTGCAGAGCTGCTGAGAGCGGCACCGGATGACTCCTGCTAACACTGCACAGGGCCGCTTGCCTGGCCGACTTTGGAGTGTCGCAGCATGAGTGGCAGCCGGCCGGGGGGCAGCCCCACACATGGCAGCTGCTGCCAGCTGCAGTGGCACGTTTGTTGCAAAGGGTACACCAGGCTTTAGGTTCAGACTCACCTGGCGGCTCACGTGCAGGAGCTGGAGGAGGAGCTGGGGTCACTGCGCCACGAGCTGGTGGCGGCGCAGGAGGTGGCGGCCCGCGCCAGCGCGACATGGGACAAGTGAGCTGGCCGGCGAGCTGGCGGGCGGTGTGGCCTGCGTGAAACACGGCAGCGCCCAGCTGGAGCAATGCAAGGTTGCAGCGCGTGCGGGTTGATGATCCACTGGTGTGACAAACTGCTCTGCTGCGTGCCCCGCGCCGGCGCGGTGTTGCGCTCGGCCCCTTGAAAACGCGCAGGTTCCGCAAGGAGCGCGACTTCCACCGCATGCACCACAAGCGCGTGGTCCAGGAGAAGAACCGCCTCATAACCGACATCAAACGGCTCAAGGCGCGCACGGCCCCTGCGTGGCCGCGGCGACCGAGCTCAGCACCGTCACCGGCAGCTCGGCCCCCACAAAAGCTACCAAGCAAGCAGCAGGAAGCAAGGCGCTTGCCGGGACCCGCGCGCTTTTAACATGCCGTCCCTTAGCTCACTTACTTGCAAGCGGTCCCCTGCCTCTCTCACGACTGCGACACGACAATTGTCTGCAGGCGCACTACGGCAAGTATGAGCCGACCATCCTTGAGTTGAAGCGCAAGTATGAGGCGGCCATGAAGGAGAAGATGCTGGCGGTGCTGGAGCGCGACAAGATGGCGGCAAAGGTGGGGCAGGGGTGAGGGTGTGGCACATCCACCCAAGTGTGCATGAGGCGGGGGGAGGGGGGTGCGTGTCCATGGGGTCGGTGATTGTACATGCGTTGATTGAGAAAGGGCTACGACTTCATGACAAGCCCTGGTGGCAAGGCTGTGCATCCTGGGAGGCAGGGCTGTCGTGAAGCACACCGGGGGCGGAGGAGGGG